AGAGAGAGAGAGAGAGAGAGAGAGAGAGAGAGAGAGAGATTCCACGATCGAAGAAGAAATAATATCGAGGAGGGATGATCTCGCGGTGGCGAGATTCATTAGCAAACAAAGAAGATCGAAATTAAGATCGTGGATAGAAAACGCTGGAATCGATGATTTATATCGCCGTGTCAATGTTATCAATGCATTTAGATTAATAGTTTCGTGGATATGACAGACGGTTTGATAATAATTTACCGGGTACGCCCGTGTAATTACTATCGATCCATCCGAGGAACATCTGGATTGATGGCAAAGCTATCGGTCACCGCGAGTCCACCTCTATAATGATGTTCGAACAAATATAATCCGAATGTTTCGATTCTTGATCTATGAAAAACCAACGACTCGAGACGATTGTTCCATGAATTTCATCCACGAATTAACGTGTAAAACACTTTTGTATTTTGNATATATATATATCGTTGTTTCGATATTTTGTAAAACAGATTTGTCACGGTATATCATGGTAAAACAGTCTTCTTTATTTCGTTGAGAACAAACGTTTATAATCCTTCTTAATTTCTGTTAATGTGCTCTCGCATTCACCGTCTGCTGTTCCTATTTTTCGCCCTTCTCACACTTCTTTTCTATCTTCATCGTCAATCTTTTCGAATAGATATCAATTTCGATTCAAAAAAAACGAAACGTCAAACTCGAACCATTATCACTTCTTACAAAACTCGATTACTTTGAGAATGATATTCCACCGATCTAATCCGAGATAAGAAAATCTAAAATTTGAGATAAACAATCTATCCTGTGATATTGTAAAGGAAAAAATAATTGTTCGAGTTTAGACCACCATTTTTACCATTCTCCTCGCTGTCCCTTATCTCCCTAAATTACACCTGTTTTCACGAGAATTCACGCTCGCGTTTTGTAATTTTGACGGGTAAAAGTGAAGAGTCCCGATATCCTGGATCGCGACTGGAAAATGGCGAGGTTTTAACGATCCTGCGATATATATATATACATATATATATATATACATATATATATATAAAACCGTGGGGATGGAAGATTTTGGCAGACGGAAGCGAAACCGGGTGGTGGTGGTAGTAGTGGTGCTGCATCGACGAAAACGAAATGATAATCTTTGTGTGCAGGCTGGCTGTGCTCCGTTCGAATTCGCGACTCGAAGCCTCGTATCGCGGGCGGGAAGAGTGGTTTGAAAACACGGCGGCGGATCGGGCACGGCGCGGTTAACGAGCGGAATTCCCAGCGATTATGGCCGGCGATGACATACCTCCGCTTCTCTCGTTCAAAGAGTTGGAACTAAGCCACAGCTATTCGATTCGGAAGCTATTTACAGAGTTGTACGCGCGTATAAAACTAAAAACCGATGGAAAATATCTTAAAATCTTGGATGAAAATTCGAAATTCCTGATTTTTTTAAAATGAAAATATACGCGACAAGATCGTATATACAGGATCGTTTTTATATAAAAACGTGGGACACTTTTGAAGGATAAATTCTAGACGTCGAAACAATGAAAAAAGTTCGTATGCATATACGTCCGATAAGGCTTGATTAACGAGTTATTAAGTATTTTAAGTTTGTATTGGATAGACGAGACGGCGAAAGAGCGAGAACGCTCTATTAAAATGAATTTGTAATATAATATAATGTACGTAATATAATGTAATGTAATATTATGTAACTTCTTATTTAACGAAAATTTACCTCGAATAAGTTTCTATTATAAATAACTAATTACATTTCAATTTGCATAATTAAAATTTTTTTCTTAAATATAAAAATATCGCATAGTTACATTACACGATATTTATATACATTATCTTATATCGAAATTCATTTGAAATAATCAATTGTACATAAAAAAAAATATCATAAAATATTTACTTTCATCGAATACAATAATTCAACTAAGGATTCAAATGATATCTTTGTATACATAAAATAATTTATCTATGGATTTATATAAAATGATGTATATAATTAATTCTGGAAATTTCCTAAAACTTACTCGAGATAAATTTTAGTTAAATAAGGAGTTACGTACATTATATTACATTGAAATTCATTTAAAATAATCAATTGTATATAAAAAAAATATAGTCTTATCGGACACACGTGTATATATAAACTTCTTTTTGATGCCTAGAATCCACCTTCCAAAAGTGTTCCACATTTTTATAAACATCCTTTTTTTTCAGAGCGAAATTAAATGGGAAGAGGTTTGATTGATCTCGAAAGAAGCGTTTCCTTGCACTGTTTACGGGAAAATTAGAAAGAAGGAAGGCGAGCGCGCGTAGATGACACCGGTTGACTCGTATTCGTTCGTTCGAATTGAGAGGAGGGGGAAAGGCGTCACGCTTCGCATCCTCTCGCTAAGAGGCGAGGAGTAACGGATAAACTGGGCGCGTGGTGATCGTGGTAGCCGGGCCAATAGTCGACCAACTTCGCTTCGAAGCAGCACGCGAACCGTTAACTTTCCTGTTATCGTTTATTAAGCCTCTCGGAGAGTGTTCGCTTGGAAATTAGAGCGGAACGACGTTGCCCTCGAAGGAAGAAAGATCCGTCGCGTGAGAACGATCGAGCTTGTTGTTAATTAAAGAAGATGGGAAAGTAATGATGTGAAAAATTGGTGAGAATAAGATAAAAAAATAAGAAAAAAAAAGTGCAGCATACCGTGTGCGGTTCGTTTAAGGCGAGTGAAAATTCGAAGATGCGATCAATTTGTAATGTTGTTTCCTTTCGAGAAAATTCGAAATTTTTCGAATCTTTTTCAGCTCGATATCCTGCCACGCAACATTTGAATTTGAGATTTACGGCCTTTTTCAATCTCTCTCTCTTTCTCTTCGTTTCCGAACGAAACTCCATGAAAATCCATGACGGACGATGGAAAAAGGGAAATGCGGAAGGTGGAGAACGAGAAGAGAAGTGGAAAAACAATTCGCGAGGGAGATTTAATTTCGAAATAATCCAGAGTGGATTATTATTATTATTATTATTATTATTATTATTAGATAGAAATTTGAAATTCCGGCTAATCTCCGGCAACAAATTCGATGCTAAAGTAAATGAATTTCACTCCGTGCGTTGCGTTCCAGCATCCCTGTCGATTTATTACTTTTACGGAATGTTGGACGAGTTATGTCTGGTAATATAATTCGTGTACATTGGAATCCCGATTATAGTTTCAGGAAGACGGAACAAGCGTGAGCGTGTTGCAATGGACACCGTCGATCGAAGACGAGGGGAAATTTCTGGTGTGCAGGGCGACCAATCCGAAGCTGCAGGACACGGGTATCGAGGAACGATGGAAGCTAAAAGTGCATTGTAAGTGTATACATCGTATCTTTCTCTCTCTTTCTCTCTTCTATCTCTTTTTTCTTCCTCCCCTCCCCCTCCTCTCGTACCATCTTACGATATAAAATTAACGAGATCGATAGGAATTCCTGGCGCGCCTTCGCCCTCGTTCTCGATTATTCAATTATTTCGATAAATTTGAGAAAGCTCGGTCTCCCGGAATTGCGATCGAGACAAAGAAGAGTAGGAGAAGAGAAGAGAGAAGGGGGGGATTCGTGATGTACGCGAGCGGAATTTAGAAGAAATTGATACTCGTAGACCTCTGCTCTAGAAACCGAGAAAAGAAAGTTAAATGTCCTCGGCTTAAAAGGGGATTGGTGAAATAGGTGACTCACCGGCTAACGCATTGATTTCTCGTGGAAACGTGCCGTCTCGCTGTTATTGCTCCTCTTTGAAATATTCCTTCCCCTTCCAAATGTTAATTGCTAAAAGAACGAATCATCAAGTTCGATTCAGCGATTGAAATCCGATGGATCGATTGTCCATTATTTTCGGAAATCCGAAGATAAGATAAAAGAAGATGTGTAGAATGATTGTTGAGGGGAGGGATCGTTGACTCTTGCAAATATTATTCGCGGCCAAAGATCGTACGATTCCTGGTTAATTCGATTTCAATGGATTTCCACCAGCCACGGAGACACCAGATATAGAGAGCCTTTACGACGAAATTACGTGCCGGCTAATCTGTCCTGCCAACGTTCACCTGTATAACGTAAGCCAGATACGAGCTATCGTTATCCGTTTATTTACGACTGCGTGTCCGATCGGCCACTCGATGCATCCGCCATTACCCTTGTTTCCCACGCGTGTACGTGTGCGATATACGCATGCGCACGTATATACGGTGGATACTTGGCGCTAGTCCGACGGACGAGTAACGCGTAGAACGTGATTCATTCGTTCACGATGCCTCGTTCTGGTAATTTCACGATTTCGTTATATCGCGTTAACACCAATAACCGATTTTTCATAACGACGACGACGACGAGTCTTTTGCTTTCATCGAAATCGAAGAGGGAAATCGTTTTATTCCCGAAGAACGATTATACATCGCGCGAAACGAAATTATTTCTTGAATTATAACGGTTGATAAAAAGTGTACAGTTTGTCCCGAGTAACGAGATTATCTCGTTCGATCAAAAAGGTCACGAGAGATCGAGTTAAAATCGCGAACGCTAATAAACCTTTTGCCGCGATGGAATATCGATACACACCAATACTCGAGCAGGGATATTCCCCGGTGGATTCTTCCTCGCGGCGAAGAATCAATTCGAATAACTCGCTCGCAATCCGAATAATCCCGTAATAACGGTACAAGTCAAGGAAACGGACGAGAAATATTGAACGCTTCCAATTTTATTTCGTGAACGCGATATAATAAATTTTTAAACAAAAATTTTCCTCGAGTTATTCGATACGCTATTCGCTGATCGCCGTCCGGAATAATATCTCTTCGAGATCTCTAGGGTAAACACGGTAATAAAATTACTAGAAAAATAAAATCGGTACCCGTTTTTCGTCTTAAATACGAATAAGAATTCGCGCATGCATATGTAATATGTGGTTGGCACCGGAACCAAAAAGAAATACGTCGCGTAAATCGTTTCCATATTTTTACATAATCTATCGTAAGGAGGGGAAAGGGGGGAGAGGGGAAGAACGGAAGGAGATGTTACTTGACGTAAAATCGAGCGAGGAGGAAATGGGCGGCTGTTATTGTTACAAAGTGGACTGTATAACTGTTTACTGTACAGTTTACCGGTGGCTAACGATACAATTACGTATCTGTCAACGTCAACCTCGAGCTGTCAGTGGTAACGGTACGTGATACATCAGACGCATCAGGCCCGCGCATTTCCATCTCGCCTCCGTCCACAGATCGGAAAATCCTTGTTCAATCGATCGCCATATCGAGCGACGTGGAAAGAAGGGAAATAAGAAGCAAGTCTCGAATCTGTTCCGATCTATTCGTTTCGAGAATTCGCGATTGCTACCATGCAACAGTGGTTCGAACGATATATGTATATTAAATAGATAAAATTCATTTTCAAATTTATAAAAAATAATTATACGTTAAAATCTTAAATCCTTTCCTTTTTAAACGTTTACAACAAATTAAACAAAATAAATCTGTATACATAGGCAGAGAATTAATCGATAACTGATCGGTCAATAGTTGAGAAATATTCTGTAAAGAATTTATTAAGAAGCATTTAAATTTCTATTTTTAATTTAAATCGTTATAAATTTATCGATAAGTTTTTTGTTTCTTTTGTAAATTAATTTTAAAGTTAAAGTAATGATTTTTCAATGATTCCTTATATGTTCCACGTCATTCCACGCGATAAAAGTTGGATATATGAAAAAGTAGAAACTTTCTACTTTTTCTTTTATTGCTATATTTGATTCGCGAAACTATGCTAAAATTAATTTTGTTTATGGCCGCGGATTATTTAATCCAGCCAGACATTTATGAATTAATTTTAATCTACCTTATATTATAATAATGCGTTTATATCACTGTTCATTTATTATATTTTGGAGAAATAAGCGATAATAATATTCCTAACTTTAGTTGACAATTTTTTCTTTTATTCCTTTCGATCTCTCAATCTTTTTTCCTATATTCGTATTTTTATTTATTTTTAATACATCGACCATTACATAATAATAAATTATAATAAAAAGCAATGTTGTTCTCTAAAAAGGAAGAAAATAATTTTTTTCCAGTTAGGCCCTACCTCTCTCGAATATGGCTGTGCTTTGTGGATCGCGTCGAAACGAAGTTTAATCCAATTGGTTTAAAACGAGGGAGGAATCACAGAAAGAAACGTATCGAATTACGGGATTCGCGGATTCGATTAAGAGAAAAACGGTTAATTGGAGGGGAAGGGAGAGGCGAGGATCGGTGGCTCCGTGTCACGTGGTTAACGATCTGCTCGCAGGCGCGAGCCATCTATGTTCCTACGGCTGTGGAATCCGAGGCATAGCGCGTGTTCATTTGCCGGAAAGCTATTTCCTCCCTTCCATTACCGGACGACCGTGTATCGCGCATATTTGCGCCCGTGCGATCGAATCTCTTCGTTTTCGTTCCCGCACCTCCACGCACACGCATACACACATGAGCTGTGTAAAATTGCGAACTGTGCGTCAACGTCGCGCCAACTATGTTTCTTTCTTCTTTTTTCCGATTGGCGAGAAAAAAATATCCTTTCTTCGAGAAATTTGTAAAATTCACTCGACAATCGTTCGTAAAAAGGGAAATCGATCGGAAAGAGGGAGGGAGGGAGGTGATATCGTCGCCCCAGTAGACCGCTAGTCTAGTGCCACAAATCACCACAAAGCGCGATATAAATGTTCAGCTTTGGTTTTACTTGGTTATTTATCGAAACACGCGGCTAACATTTCTTTCTTCACTCCTCTTTCGAGCTATTATTCCCCTATCTTTTTTCCCCTCTTTTTCCCCTTTTTTCTCTTCCGTGAAACGTTATTTTGTTATACACACAGTTGATCGTTCTCGGGGAAAAACGTGATAAAAGTTTCGTCGACGGGAAGGATAATAGAAATTGGAAAGTTGACAATCTAGAAAACGAGTCGGAGACTCGACTCGTAGACTCGAGAGTTCGGGGCCAAACAACCTGGTCCGCGCGAAACCTGGCAAACTAATAATAATTCTCCCGTAGTAAACACGTTGAGAGATGCAACTCTACTCGCCAATTATGTCGTTTCTACTCTGGGCAAAATAGACAAAGTTTTGAAACGCGTCTCTCTTCCTCCCTCTCCCCTTCTCGAAAATTATGAACTCGGGTCAACAACGTCCCCCGACCCATCCCAGATTGATAGAGGGAACCCGGGCAAAGAGACACGTTGCATCTAATTAATATCTAGCGGCACAACTGCGTGACAAATCGAAACGGAAGGAAACGGACTCGGTGAATGCGTGCTCGGCAAGGATATTCCTTCGTGCTGCGAAATATAATTACGCTTCGCTCGCTACTACTTTCCTATCTCCGAGCCTTCGCTTAAAATAATTCAGAGACACCCGGATAAAGAGAGAGAGAGAGAAACTTGAATTTCCCGACCGCGCTTCGTTTCGTCTTTGGCCGAACAACGAACTTTGCAGAGAAGGAAAAAAAGCGCACGAAATTCGAAATTTTACAATAATATTGACGCTTTGCAACTCTTCCGCACCCAAATTTCTTAGCTAATTTAAAATGACTTCACGCGCGAATCAACGTATAAAACTTTTGTATTGTAATATTTCGTGTATCTTTACGTGAAGAAAGAAAATTTATCGAATGTTAAATTGTTTATATCGTTATCTCCTACGATATTTTAATAATAATAACTCTGCTCTCACATTCACCGTTTATTATTTTTCTTTTTCATCTTCTCTTACTACATTTCTCATACTACATAGAAATAATTTCGTTATTTAACAACGAAAACTCAAACTCATCTTCTCTAATTTCATTATTCCATGCTTACAAAACTAAAAAACTTTGAAAATAATATTTCTATTCCCACTAACCGTCAAACTCGCTCCGTCAACAAAGCGAATGTGGTGTAATTCGATCCGCGGTGTAGTTTGAGATAAAAAAAGTCTAACCGTCGACGGTATATTATTCTATTATTCGCTTCTCAAGGTTAAACGTGAAGAGCCTTAGGAATTTATTCTATATATTTTAAAAGAAATCAAACGTAAATAAATATCGTCGCCGTTCGAAATGCGGTTAATCTTGCTTCGTCGTAATTTATTAATTTATCACGCGTTCTGTCTCCCGATATATAACTTGATTACAAATCCCGTTACGAACTCGATACACGCGAAACGAAAAAGTAACAGTGGAGGAAAAAATTCGAACGGGAGAAAGCACAAATATTTTGAAAGGGTAGAAAAAACATTCCCGCCGTGACTGGGAAATTCAGTGAGCGAAATCAAACGTCTACCGATTTAGAGAAAGGCGGGG